TAGGTTTAATAGAGAACCCATCTGACAGATTCAACTACGAAAAAGTGAACATATTTAGAGACGAGCAGAAAATATGAGAATTACTTATGTAACATAATTACTTATGTTGAGATCTGAGAGTTGTATGAAAGAGTCTCCGCATAGAACTATCGCAGAAATTTTTAGGAGGATTAGTCAAATTGTCGCTCATAGGTTTTCCTTTGTTACCTCTTCTTCTGGACCATATCACATTGTATTATATTTTAAGTTAACAGTAGGATATAAATCCTCCTCGTTTTATTCGTTTATGTATATTAGTAGTCTATGGAATTATTGAAACTAAAGTGTTAAAACCCTTTCATATCTTATTGTCGTTGTGTTTGAACGAATAAAATAATTGTTTAAACGAATAAAAGAAATAAAAATGCTTCTCTTGCGTTTCCTCATTCTTGTCAACACATTATGTCGTCACAGTCGAGATTACCGATTGATTGCCGATCTATGGAAAATTGTTTCATGTCGATCAATCCTTATGTTTTGCAAAATTTTTCATCTGTTCTCCCAGAAAGTCAAAAATCTCAACTTATTGCAAAACCTAAGCGTACAAGTGAATACGAAATTAATATATTGTTGCATTGAAGTTGTGCTGAACTAAGACAAGGTGAATGGTCGTTCTTTCGTCAATTTGGAAAGGCAAAACAGGCACCTGTTTAGAACTGTATAGGTGCCCATATCAGACCTCACAGCAGACAAAATGGATTTGACGATATACCGCTACTGTAAAATGTAGTTATACACCTTGTAGTATCTGACATTGTGCTATATAACCATACGTGGGAAAAGAGACAGCGAGAAGAGTTTGAAAGCTTCTGGCATTGACCGAGCGTTGTCATTACTGTGGTTCTCCTATTGCCAAGATCTTTCTTTTCTCTGCGTTGCAAATTGCTTTTTTTTAGTTATGTAGATCTATGATGGATTTCACGATGTGTATTAACAGAAGACGTTTCGAATTTATTGCCATTGTTTGAATGAATAAACTACTATACTTCTCTCGGGTTTTCTTACATTATTATGTAGCTCATTATTCCGTCACTTTCGAAATTACTGGTCGATTTCCGGTTCATGGAGAATTGTTATGACGAATAATTCCTCTGTTTTGAGCTTTCAATTCTTTGATCTGTTCATCTAGCAAAGTCAGTAAATCTCAACGCGTTGCAGAAAGCTAAGCGCACCAGTGGGACTGAAATTTCAATATTGGCACATTGAAGAGTTTTTTGAAGCTAGACAACGTAAATGGTGGTCCTTTCGCCTGTATAGGTCGTTTTATAAATCTTAGTACTAGTGCAATAAGCATAAGATTTCCTGAGCAGAAGTAATAAAAGTTCCATGACTTTCATATCGATCGTTTGCGCATTTTTCTGCTATGAATCCCTTACTCATCTCATGCAGGAGTGGCACGTACAGGAAATGCTCGTATATCGCAGAGCACGATTTATGGGGCTCAAAGCACGTGTAGCTCTTGAGAAAAGCTCTGTGCCACAACATAAGACTTTTTTTAGCATTCATCTTATTGTAGTAAATCGTACAAAGATTAAAACGGCAAAAGCCCTTGCAAAAATAACTTTCAATCGACTTTTTAAGACGTCGCATACAAACTTTTGATATAGTGTGATAGAATGGTCCAAGCCTTCCAAAAGGTGCGGCATGGCATCTCGGCGATATACGTATGTTTCGACGTTCTCACACGCCTCTTCAGCACCGCATCCCTACAGCTCACCCCTGCTACTACAAGTACTGGCCGTCAAAGATATCACTCAACGTCAAGTGAAAATATCGCTTGATATTGCTTTTTTTCAGAGTGATTGATTGTCTATTCCATGCGATAGAGAAGTGGAGAGCTCCATAATCTATCTCTGCCCGTTTATCTACTGTAGGAATATAAATGATTGCTTGTCGTTTGTTCAACAAAAGGGGGGATGGAAAATGCTTTGAGTTGTCGAATAGTTATTCAGAGTACACAAGGCCTACTCGTGAGAAACCAAAAACAAATTAGCTTCCATTTTTGAACGTTCAAGTCAACCTATTCCTCGAATTCCTGCAACACAATGTGATACCGCAAGCCAAGCAACGAAAACATCTTGATTCATTAACCAACTTCTCATCCGTCACACACGAAACGCGAATTTGTGCAAAAAGTTTCGAATAGATATCAATGTGTGTGCAGGAAGAGAAAGGTAAAATCCCTGTGGACGGGGAATATAACCACCTCTAATGGTTACGATACGGTAGGAGTTCCTAAGGTTAGGTCTAGAGGAAATTTGGCTCATCAAACGGGAAGTCTGGCGAGAATAAGATTCTATCCGTCCTACCGTTTATTTCTAACGAATGAAGAACAGCTATTAAACGCTGTTAAGAAAGAGCACGTTCAGATAATGCGGTAGCAGTAATCGTGATATCCTCAAGCATGATAAAGCTTCAGTCACTCTGTAACCGACTATAAGAGCACCTTTGCCATAGAGACAGCGATTCTATGACATCTGATACGACTTACCCAATACCTTGCGAAGCATGTGGGGGCGAATACATTGGCGAAACGAGTAGAACACTCTGCGTCCGGGGAGAACACTTAGCTGAATCACGAAACCCTTACCTTAAGCCCCACATGGCACGCGTAGGGAATAAAAACAATCAGTGGCAAGGTTGGACGTCAATTTCACTATCCTCTCATAGGAATCGAAAGCATACGTGCGTAAAATTTGGAAGCTGTGGATACACAGTAAAGACCCAAAAATGAACCACACAGAGGCGTGCGTCGTAATCACGCGTAATCCTGCACCATATCTTAGACTAATCTTCCCGACTTGAGTCAGGCAAAGCCTCACTTGTGCATTGACTCCAAAAGGCTAGTATTGTACAATCGGAACACCCAAAACATCTTTCTGATGAGTGTTTTCAAATGTAGCTTTTTAGTGTGCAATACGAAATTTTCTTGTTACGTTTTCAGGTGGGATTATGGAGGCTTTTGATTGAGTGAATTGCAAATTAATTTGACCTTTTCAAGCAATGAAGAAGGCGAGACGCCGAAACGTTAGCCACTGTATTGTATTATGTTTGTATTGCACCTTTATTTCGAGTGTTTTATTAAGACCACACTCAAGTTTCAATCACCTGCATCACCTGTCGTCCCGTTGATCTTAACTCGAGCGGGTACCAGCAACACTTTCATATTTCAATATATCTAATAATATTATCTGGGTTAGAGGCTAGAGATGGCGGTTCTGCGCCACTGACGAGACTGTAACGTCGAAACACGTGTATTGGGCTGTACAAGAGCCCATTTACAGACCACATGAAATGTTGGCTCAGATAATAATTACGAGATATGCTTGTACTGTTGTAGTGCACTACTGTACTCTGCACTGCACTGCATTATCAGTGCTCGACAAACGCGATTGCTACCACCTCGGAGCAGCCTATCAAGATAAAACTACATTCAATCACATTCCTTTTTGTTGGTCATCGACGAGTATTTTATTCATTGTCGTTTAGTTCCGATAAAGATGGTTGCTATGTCATTGATGTGTGTTTATGCCTGCATGAAATCACTTCCATAAATTGCCACTGAACTAGTAACGTTGATCGACACTCTTGAAATAATGATACGAAATGAACTCTGGTCGCTCTGTCTTCCACTACCATATACTAATCGTTCGATTTACAGTCATATAAAATAAAGTCTATTCTTTTAACAGAAAAAAGAATTCTGAAAACCTAAGGTATTGTAAGCGATAATTGATTCAGGGAAAACCACTCACCTTACTATCTAATCCAGGGACTACCTATGCCGTTAGCGCCAGGGTGACGTATGAACCCGCCCCATGTCACTAGGTCAAATTATGTATAGGTGTAAGCTGAGACCCATGCTAGAAAATTAATCTGAGATAAGGTGCCATATGGTTGGTTATGTTAAGACACTCTCCCTTTTTGTTCATTTGTGGGTTTTTGGAATTTATCCAAAAAGCTTCAAGGGTCTTTCGCTCCGATGTTTTTGGTTCGTGCCCTAGGATTTTGACTACTACTTCGAAGTTGTCATCGTTGTGTCTTCGAATTCTGTGCGTACCTAGAGGTTTACCTGGGTCTTTATTTGTTTTCCCATCTAGGTGCTCTTTAATGCGGATGTGAAGTGGTCTGCCCGTTTCGCCAATATATTCACCACCACATGTCTTACAAGAGATAAGGTATATTGTACCTAAGCTCATGCAATCACCGTCTCCACCGTTGGGACAAATAACGCTGTCCTTTGTATTACATAGCCGGTCATACATGCAGTTTCGAACTAATTAACGACGCAGTGTTTTAGGAGGATTTCTATAATTCCTACAGAATCTTCTAGACCACTGTTTTTAGACACATTCTAATAGCGGTACTGACTTCGTCTGTTATAAAAGGTAGTATAAAAGGTACCTCATTGTTTAGGTGTGGCGCCCTGTTGTTCCCATGAGCCTATCGGTTGTAATTTGCACGAAGTCCTAGGTCAACTTCGTTATAAAGCGAAACAAGAAAGGTTAGGTTTAGCACAACGTAGAGAGGAAACATTACAACCACCTCATTTTTCAGGAACGTTCTTCAAACAACAACAACCTGATAGCGAAATTGACTTAAACTTCCGTATATTTTCGGAGAACTTGTCCATGTACTTAATCGCTACCGACAAAACAAATTCAGCTCCAACCTAATCAAAAAACAAAAACCTGGCATGAAAAAAGTCCAAGAGCTGATAAAATCAAAAAAACACCCGGTTATCTATTAGCGATAAGGGTGGGGAGTTTGTAGGTATTCCTGTCAGTTGGATGTTGATAGAACGCAAAACATCTCAAGGACGCTGCTCTCTATCAACCTTCCTTTGAAAAAGAATATAGAACACAATGCCGGAAATTGAATGAAGAATGGGTCCGAACGGCAACAGCAGCAGGTTTACAACAATTTCTCATCCAACAAGTGCAGTGATGTGCAAAAACGTTTTCGTCGGCCTGAATTCAAACCCAGATCTCACTCTTTCCGGGAGCGTATGCTAACCACTGCACTACCGACGATCGTTTTTGCACATCACTCTTATTTACGCTATAACGCGTTGTCTGCCAACAGCCAACCGTCGACGGTCTGGCGGGGCAGCCGCTATCGGCATTGAACCCACTTGTATTGACAGACATTGGATATTGATAATCGGTTTAAATTCTTTTTATTTTGACTGCCACTTGCAATGGCATCTCTTATCCTCTTATCCGTCAACTAAAAACTGAACACCAACTTGTCCCGCCCTCTACACACTCATTAAAACACATAAACTTTCTACTAATGATTTTGGATCTACCGATCGCTCTACGTTCACAGTTACACCAATCATTAGCTGTGTAGGCGGGTCAACAGATAGGATAACACGGTTTCTTGGCCTCATATTGTCGCAATTATTGAAGTTCATACCTACCCATCTCCACAACACCTATATATTCCTAGAGCACCTTAAAAATGCGCGTCCAAATCATACGTATATAATGGAGTTATTTGATGTTACAGCGCTGTATACAAACGTCTCAAATGACGCAATACAAGCCGCCCATGAATTACTAATAGAAAATATAGAAAGCATAGATATGCTTGGCTTGCCTGTCCAACAGCCTATCACACTCCTTAAGTCATGCCTAAGCTGTTCGATATTTAGGTGGTCGCGAAAATATTTCGCACAAATCAGAGGGTTGGCAATGGGGCAAAGACTAGCACCCAGCTTAGCCATCGCTTTCATGTCAAAAGTGGAAGCTCCAGTTCTCCATCGGCATCCAATACTCTACTGTCGATACATAAACGATTGCTTTATCATCTGCTCTACACAAGACGAGATGGATAAATGCTTCGAAATTCTGAACGGACAGTCAGAGTTTATTAAGTTGACGCGAGAACAACAAAATTCAGAGAGCTGGCTTCCCTTCTTGAACGTTCAAGTTCAGCTTAATGAAAGTGGCTACAACACAAAATGGTATCGCAAGCCTAGTAATAAAAACATCTTGGTACATTACCTTTCTTCTCATCTCTCACATACTAAAAAAGCACTTATCCGAAATATGTATCGAACAGCTGTAAGTTTTTGTACGGGAGACGATGAAAGAAGGGAATCACTATACTTAGCGCGAAAAATAGCCATTTCTAATGGGTACAAAGAAAGAACAGCAACTAACGGTAGGCCCAAAAGGAGCGAAAGGCCTCGAAAGGGGAACAACAGGGCGCCACACCTAAACAAAAAGGTACCTCTTATACTACCTTTCATAAAAGACGAAGTCAGTACCGCTATTAGAAGGTGTCTAAAAAACAGTGGTCTAGAAGATTCTGTAGGAATTGTAGAAATTCCTCCTAAAACACTGCGTCGTCAATTAGTTCGAAACCGCATGTATGACCGGCTATGTAATACAAAGGATTTCGTTATTTGTCCCGACGGTAGAGACGGTGATTGCATGAGCGTAGGTACAATATGCCTTATCTCTTGTAAGACATGTGGTGGTGAATAAATTGGCGAAACGGGCAGACCACTTCACATCCGCATTAAAGAGCACCTAGATGGGAAAACAAATGAAGACCCAGGTAAACCTCTAGGTACGCACAGGATTCGAAGACACAACGATGACAACTTCGAAGTAGTAGTCAAAATCCTAGGGCACGAACCAAAAACATCGGAGCGAAAGACCCTTGAAGCTTTTTGGATAAATTCCAACAACCCGCAAATGAACAAAAAGGGAGAGTGCCTTAACATAACCAACCATATGGCACCTTATCTCAGATTAATTTTCTAGCATGGGTCTCAGCTTACACCTATACATAATTTGACCTAGTGACATGGGGCGGGTTCATACGTCACCCTGGCGCTAACGGCATAGGTAGTCCCTGGATTAGATAGTAAGGTGAGTGGTTTTCCTGAATCAATTATCGCTTACAATACCTTAGGTTTTCAAAATAACTTTTTTCTTCCTTAGTATATAGTCATATAGATAAAGCTAAAACGAATAATACGTTCAAGCTCTGAAGAAGGCGTATTTGCCGAAACGTCAGCCACAAGCAATGGCGAAAACCCATCGACCGGAAAGAAGAGCAATCGATTGGGAAAAGATACCAACCTCGTGAAGCTTTAAATAAAGATTAGTTTTCTAAGCTTTTCTTCTCATTTTCAAGATAAATTTTTCGACGATGATCATCACAGAAGGAATGGAAGTGCCTGAATGTAGTTTTATCTTGATAGACTGCTCCGACGTGGTAACAATAGCGTTTGTCGAGCAGTGATAATGCAGTACAATACAGAGTACAGTAGTGCAGTGCAATTATACAAACATATCTCATGATTATTACCTGAGCCAACATGTCATGTGGTCTCTTAATGGGCTCTTGTACGACCCAATACACGTGCTTCTACCTTACAGTCTCGTCAGTCGGACAGAACCTGTCGTCTTTAGTCTTTAGCTGAGATAATAATTCTTAGATTTATTGAAACATGGAAATGTTGGTAGTACCCACTCGAGTCACTTGAAGATCAACGGGACGACAAGTGATACAGGTGATTGGGACTTGAGTGTGATCTTAATAATACACTTGAAATAAACGTACAATACAAACATGATATAACACATTGGCTAACGTTCCGGCGTCTCTCCTTCTTCAGTGCTTCGAGGTCAAATTAATTTGCGATTACTCAGTCAAAAGCCTTCATAACCCCGCCCGAAAACGTAATAAGCAAATTTTGTATTCCCCTAGTAAGAAGCTACATTGAAAACACTTATAAGAAAGATGTTTCAGGAGTTCTGATTGCTCACAATGCTAGGCTTTTGGAGTCAATGCACAAGGAGGCTTTGCCTGACGCAAGTCGGGAAGATTAGCCAAAGGTATGGTGCATGGTTACGCGTGATTACGAGGCACTCCTCTGTGTGGTTCATTTTTGGGTCTTTAGTGTGTATCCAAAAGCTCGCAAAGTTATACGCAGGTTTGCTTTCGATCCCTATGAGAGGATAGTGAATTTGACGTCCAACCTTGCTACTAACTGTTTTTGTTGCCTACGGGTGCCATGTGGGGCTTAGGGTGAGGGTTGCGTGATTCAGCTAAGTGTTTTTCACGAACGCAGAATGGTCTACTCGTTTCGCCAAGGTATTCGTCCCCACATGCCTCGCAAGATATTGGGTAAGTCGTATCAGATCTCACAGAATCGCTGTCTCTATGGCAAAGGCGCTCATACTGTCGGTTACAGAGTGACTGGAGCTTTATCGTACTTGAGGATATCACCATTACTGCTACCGCATTATCTAAACGTGCTCTTTGTTAACAGCTTTCAATAGCTGTTCTTGATTAGTAGAAATGAACGGTAGGATGTACAGAACCTTATTCTCGTCAAACTTCCCGTTTACGGACGCCAAATTTCCTCTAGATCTAAGCTCAGAAAGTCCCTCAGTATCGTAGCCATTAGAGATGGCTTTATTCCCCGACCTTAAAGATTTTACCTTTCTTTTCCGGCACACACATTGATATCTGTTCGCAATATGTCTTGCACAAATGCGCGTTTCGTGTGTGATGGATGAGAAGTTGGGAAATGAACCAAGATATTTTCGTTGCTTGGCTTGCGGTATCACTTTGTGTTGAGGAGTTCAAGGATAGGTTGACTTTAACGTTCAAGAATGGAAGTCATTTTGTTATTGGCTTCGCGCGAGTAGACTTTGTGTACTCTGAATGACTAATCGACAGCTTGAAATTTTTCCCATCTCCCCTTGCGCTGAACAGACGACAAGCAACCATCTATATACCTACAGTGAATAAACGGCCAGATATCAATTTCGGGGCCCTCCAATGCTCTTTCGCATGGAATCAACAATCAATCACTAAGAAAAGACGCGATATTGAGTGATATTTTCACCTGACGTTGAGTGATATATCTTTGACTGCCACTACTTGTAGTAGCAAGGGTGAGCTGTAGGGCATGCGGTACTGAAGAGGTTTGTGAGAACGTCGAAACATACGTATATCACCGAGATGCCATGCCACACCTCTTGGAAGGCTTGAGCATTCTATCAAACTATATTAAAATTTTGTATGCGAGGTCTTAAAAATCGAGCGGAAGTTATTTTTACAGGAGTTTTTGCCGTTTTAATCTTTGTACGATTTACTACAATAAGTTGAATGCTAAAAAGAGTCTTGTGGTGTCAGGGCAGAGCTTTTCTCAAGAGCTACATGTGCTCTGAGCTCGATAAATCGTGCTCTGCGATATACTAGCATTTCCCCTAAGTGCCACTCCTGCATGAGATGAGTAAGGAATTTTTTTCTCAGGATAATCATCTCAAGTCAAGCATAGGCAACTTGTGTACAAAATGAACACAGAAAAATGCGCAATCGAATGCTATGAAAATCATGGAACTTTAATCACTTCTGTTATTCTGATGCTTATTGCACTAGTACTAAGACTTATAAGACCACCTATACAGGCGAAAGGACGACCATTTGCATTGTCTAGCTTCAAAAAAATCTTCAATGTGCCAATATTAAAATTTCAATCCCACTGGTGCGCTTAGCTTTCTGCAATGCGTTGAGATTTACTAACTTTGCTAGGTAAACAGATCAAAGAATTTGAAAGCTCAAAACAGAGGAATTATTCGTCATAGCAATTCTCCATGAACCGGAAATCGACCAGTAATTTCGAAAGTGACGGAATAATGAGCTACATAATAATGTAAGAAAACCCGAGAGAAGTATAGTAGTTTATTCATTCAAAACAATGGCAATAAATTCGAAACGTCTTCTGTTAATACACATCGTGAAATCCATCATAGACCTACATAACTAAAAAAAAAGCAATTTGCAACGCAGAGAAAAGAAAGATCTTGGCAATAGGAGAACCACAGTAATATCAACGCTCGGTCAATGCCAGAAGCTTTCAAACTCTTCTCGCTGTCTCTTTTCCCACTTATGGTTATATAGCACAATGTCAAATACTACAAGGTGTATAACTACATTTTACAGTAGCGGTATATCGTCAAATCCATTTTGTCTGCTGTGAGGTCTGATATGGGCACCT